TGACCAAGACTTCCAACATAAGAATCATTATAAAAATATTAGGATTATGACCAAATGTCTAATCAGTCTACATCAATTATTTTTCTTTCAATTAATAAATGTTCAGGGTTTCAGTGTGACCTCGGTATATCATACAAACATATTTGGGGATCCAGTAATAATAATTCATTATGTTTAACAGTCAAAACTATATCCCCATGCACCCTCTCCCACCTGCATCTGGAATGTGAAGTTTAGTCCTCAGGTACTGGAGCAGCACGACCACCCGACAGTTGGTGTTGACAAGAAACTGCTTCGTCATCTGAGCCACAGCAATACAATACATAGACATAATCAAGAAGTCCATTGAGCTAAAATAACAATGTAATGTATTAAGCTTAATGGACCACACTGCACATCTTTAAATAGCCCAGTGGCTTACCTCCATGTTTAATATGGACGAACATCACTCTTGAAGTTGTAAAACATTGCTATTTTCAAAATCAAATGAAGAGAAAATGCTCTCTCTATTAAATCCAAGACATTCTTTCACCCCAAAGTCATGAGGCGGAGCATGCTCAGTGGTTTTTGATGTCTGATTGGCCATCTGGTGCTCCGCTTGCTGTGTTCGACAGAACCAATGAGGTGTTTGTTTTCAACAGAGGACGACTCTTTCCTGGATTGTCTCAATTCGGACTCAGGTGACACATATCTGAATCATTGATCTTTATATAAAATTCGACAAAATACAATAAAACCATTTCAAACAGCTAGAGTGAAACTAAATATGTAAAACATCTCAATGGCTATCTACTACTACTACTTATTTGAAGACATCAAGTAATAGTTAAATGAAAACAAAATAAATTACAATTATATAATTTGTATTTACATTTGCATACATAATAGTATGAATACTACCTAATTTCTGACCTGACAAAAGCAACTGAAAATCAGTAAATCTATTGGACAATCTCAGCAATAATGTATGAGCAAGTGCTATTAAATATACATGGATAGATTCACTGTACGCCAAGGGCCTTGTCCAGAAAGTGGGCAAAATGCGTTGTCTGCGCAGGTGAGAAAGGCACCAGGACAGAGAGGTCCATTGTTCTCAGGGTGTCTGTAAGGGTACTGAATAAGAGAGATAGAGACATATTGTCATTGCTTTTCTCACTGTATACACAACTCTATTCCAAAATGAACACCTGCCACTTGCCAACGGCAGACTTGACGATTTGGCAGGTAAAAAACAATTCAGGGTTACATTTTAAAACAATTACTTAGCCGGTAGATTCTTCCACTTTGGCAGGTAAAAAGACAAAATTCAAGAAGTCATTTTGGACCCTGACTATGTCTTTGATAATGTAAGATGTACACTGAGTCGTGAAACAGAACAGACCTGCAGGTGCAGTACAGAAGATGAGAGTCTTTTTGGAGCTGTCGAGCGAGCTCCAGCTGATGGTTGTCCATCAGCTTGTCGTTGACCACGACCAGAAGAGGCTTCCCCGCTCCCAGGGCCTCTAAGCAGCTCCCAGCCCCTGGGGAGGAGGAAGACGATTGTACAGGTTCATGTTGACCAATGGAGCTCCGCTTCTGGAGCAACTTAAACTTAAGAGTGACAAGATAAACAGGATTCCACTTGCTCGTTCATATTTAGCTAATCAGCGAGTGAAGGCACATGATGGCAGCCTGGTTGTTTTTACACACCTGCATGGCTGATGACAAGGTCAGCACGGCTGATGTCCTCAGAGATGGAGTCTTTGAAACAGAAGGCCTCCAGTGTGAGATCTGGACCGCTCTGTGGAGCGGGGAGGACTGAGCCGCTTCCCACCTGCAGGACCACACGCTCATATCCACGAGCCTTTAGTGCCTGTGGGAGATCAATAATGACATCAATGTATGAATGAATAAATCAACGCAACCACTATATTGATTAAGGAGGGGTAAGTAGCTTTTGTTTTTTTTCCCTGTTGTTTCCAACCGACCTCTACGACCTCCAATTAAACAACACAGGAAATGGAAACACTCAACATGACACATGCTGGAGTAACGATTCATTTCTATTTAGTAAGTAGAAGTCTTTATCCAAAGCTACTTACAGCAAATGAGATGCATGTTATTGTGGTGCAGGAAAGGGGTTATAGTGAAACCCTAGCGACTTCACTATCCTGCTCATCCATAGCTTACATTCGTGGATTCTGTCTTTGTCACTTCATTATTTGTATGATCAGTGCATGATTAGTAATTACATCTTGAATGGTGGTCACTCATTTCGGAAAAATAAAGCTGAGCAAGCAGTGCGCAGCGTACTACTCACTTGAAATGTATCAGAAGTCGTAATGGTTAGAATGAGCTCATCGAAACTTGTAGTACCCACAGTCACAAATACTGTCTTCATTGTCGTCAACCTGGCGATGAAAACGACACCATAAATTCGGGTTTTACAGGCTTTGAATTGGACAACTTCCTTGTTGTGGAGGGACGAGGGCTGGTGGAGAATGGACCGCACTGCCCCCTAGCGGCGTGGAGCCGGCACCGCCATGACCGACTTGGAAAAACACATTCTGCTTCTTACTGGTTAAACATGTACTTGTCATTTACTTGAAAGGTAAATATGTAGTAATCAACATGACTATGAGAGAGATTATGGTTAAGATCATAGCTGTTTACGTTGCCTCTTGTTAAAAGTAGAAGGCAAAATATCTTTGGAATGACGTAGAGTAAAAGTATATAGGAAACTCAATGTACAAAGGGCTGAAAAGTATACTGCAGAGCAGTTTTCCAGTAAAAGCACAATCACTAAACTGATTGAAGTTTAATCTATGATAAAGCTGGTAGCCACTGCTCTAGACCAACTCAATCTCTAGAAAATGCAATATTGGCACTGAATCTACTTGTAATGGTTACATAGTCGAATACAATTTTAATTAAAATGTAATTAAATGATGCCTGCATTCATAACTTCTTGAACCCTAACAGTCAGGCAGGCCTACCTATAAAAAAACACAAGGAAGCGGGAGTGAAACAGAAAGTTTTTAAGGCTCTGTTAAGTTCTCAGTTTCAAAAACAACAGACTATATCTCGAAAAGTCACAAAAGCAGAAAAAAAACTAGTAGGCCTATAATTTTAAATGTTAAAAATCGGCTAGCAATGTCATTAGTTTGTAATAAATAGATATCAAGAAAAAGCAAATAAGAAAATACATGTCATGATCAATTACAGGGGCTAGAATTTCCACCAAACCACAACGGAGTCACCGAGAACCAAACGTCATCTCTAGAGGTCAAAATAAATCCATTTAGTCCAAAAGAGGTGCTTTGTTTTCGTGAGCTAACTTTGGTTATCATAACTAGAGCAACCTCCCTTCCACAAAATTAACCTGCCCTCATAATCATTGGCTAACGGCATCAGATGTTTTGTCCATTTGGATGACAGGGCTCCCATTCATCATAGTTTGATGTCATTAAAGCCCCTGAAAGTCAAGTGGCTCATTTTTGTGTAATTGTTTTTTTAATGAAAAACTGTTCATTGTTACCATACATACTTCCATATGTGCTTGGCTATCGACAGATACAAGTGGTAGATACTAAACCACCAACCTGATCGACCACTGCAACTGGCTAAAGAAAAGGATAGCAGTTAAAACCAAGATAGAATAATAAAACCACATTCAAAGTGGAGAACAATGTTAGCTTCCACAACACCGCAATTTCTGTGCTACAAGCAGGATTTAATGACTTGAAAAATAGACAGCAAAGTGAGTCATAACGACTATGTATAGTACAGCACATTATTTGTTTGTGGATTAGTCATAAGGTCGGGGAAGTACGCATGCTTAAAAGTAAAGTTTGTTTCGTTATAGTAAAATACTGATTTATGCGATTCAAAACTTTTATACAAGTTAAAATATCAACGATATAATGATTAAGCAGCTTTGAAAAAGAGCTGCAGTAAAACAACAACCCCTGCCTTTTTTTTTTTTTTTAACCACAGGAATACACCCAACTCAAAAGACATCGGAGAATAAAAGTTTCAATATGGCCGCTTCAACCCGTCGCTTTCCAGCTTGAAGATGACGGCTGTGGCTGTAAGCTGTGTGTCGGGGGTCGCAGCAAAGGCCATGGAGTTTCAACGCAGGCCGTGTTTCTGGAGTCACAATAGTAAAAATAGAGAAGGCCCCAGAGGAACACTTCTCCTTTGAGGAGGTTCACGGCGGCAAGTCACAAACCGGTCGTTCAGTAGGAACACTGCCAGTGGCAGGAAGTCAACAACAGGGCTAAACTCAACTTGGCCCCAGGATCATGGGTCATCCAAACAGGAAATGGCTGTTCCAATCTCAGTAAATGAAGCATCTGTAAAAAAAAAAAAAAAAAAAAGAACAAGAACAAGAAAGGACAAACTGTGTTTAATAAAAGGAGGCTCAAATTACATATACAATTACAATTACAAATTGTCATCCTGTATTACCAGTTATGAAACTAGTAAGAAGAACAGAAGTCTTTTTTTCTCTCCACTGGATGGATCTCAGGTAGCTTGGTTTATCTAGCTCTTCCTGAGCTTTATCCCTTTTCCCACCACTAGCACCTCTGCGTTGCGGACCCTTCTTCATGCCACATTCCTCCCATGATCGTATGATCGTATGATAACAGTCTAAACCAACAGCTCTGCCAGAGGACGACACCCACTCATCCTCACTTCCAACTGCCGAGATCTCAATTGATTTTCACAAGCTTAAACTCCACACTACCCAGTACAATGTGCGTCACAGAGGAATAGATGTGACATTATATAATATTACATAACATATTAGAGAGCGACCATGGGGCTCTTTGGTCAAGCTAGATAAAGAATAAATATACTGATATTTGCCACCGCATTGCTGAAATGTGTAAATTAAATACTACTTCTGTATACCAAAAAAAAGCGTCTGCTAAATGCCCTAAATGTAAATTGTACAGCATCCCCGCCCCCCCCCCGGCTGTGTTGGTTGATTGAATGGCTCCGGTCTGAACGACGTACTAGCTTGACTGGTAGAGCATGGCATTAACACTGCCAGGGTTAGGGGTTCGAGTCCCACTGGGGGGGGCCTCCCATACGAAGACTGCATGCACTCGGTGGTGTGAGACTCACTACTATCATTGAGTGTAGTGTGAGTGTGATACAAAGTGGATGAGGTGGACGAGGTGTGGTACGTACCTGTCCTCCTCACTGTATAACGCAAGCGGTGCAGCACTGTTCCTGTTTCTCTGGCAACGTAGAGTAGTTCATCTGCCGCACTATCTCGGCGAACAGCTCGTCCACCATGGTCTTGCTCTTGGCCGAGGTCTCGATGAAGGGACAGCCCCACTCCTGGGCCAGGGCACGGCCATCGGACCCGGCCACCTCGCGCTCCGACTCCAGGTCCACTTTGTTCCCCACCAGGATCAACGGTACCTTCTCAAACCGCTTCACGCGAACTATTTGGTCCCTCATCGGTCTGATATCCTGTAAGACAGGATGTGTGTGCACTGCTTAGTATGGCAGACAGAGGGTGTAAAAAGGTGCCACAAAACCCAACAGTTGGCCTTCTGCAGAAAACTGTTTTGCAAGAGGGTTAGATGTAAATAAGCACCACCAAGTTCTGCAAACTGTAGAGGATCCTACATGGATAGTCCCCAACGAGCATCAATACGGTTCAGTGCCCAAGTTGACCAGCAAGCGGGGTGGTGGTGTGCATTCACATTAAGTCAAATCATAAACAAACAAAGACATTAACAGGTACCTGAAACGACTGCTGGTTGACCAGGCTGTAGACCAGGATGAAAGCCCTGGCCGTTCTTGATGTAGAGGTCCCTCATGGAGGCGAACTGCTCCGTGCCGGCGGTGTCCAGGATCTCCAGCACGGAGGGCGACGAGTCCACCTCGATCTCCTTCCGATAAAAGTCCTCTATGGTGGGGTCGTACTTCTCGATGAAGGTCCCGGTGACGAACTGGACGGTCAGCGCGGACTTGCCGACGCCGCCGCTCCCCAACACCACAACTTTGTATTCCTTCATCGGGGTTCTCCTCGACTTTGACCCGGGCTAGTTTTTTTTTTCTTCCTCCACGAGCTAACGAGTTAGCAATAACCGCTATAGCCGCCGCGACATGGTGGGTCGAGACGACGACGACGACGACGAAGCCGAACGGAGACCGAAGCGAAATGGGTTTACCGGGCCTCGTGTCGGAACCAGAGCCCGCATCCACAGCGACACGGACGAGGCTAGCGGCACGTTAGCTCGGCGTGCGAAGTTGTTGGGTCGCCGCTCAGCGTTAGCAACTAATGTTAGCTAATGCGGTTTCCACACTGCTCCATACTCCCTGCTCTAGATTAGCCCGTCGCACGCTAACCAGAACCACAAAAGCCCAACCGCCCCTCGATAATCAACACACACCTGCCGTATACCAGCGAGTCAAATTAGCACAACGTTAAATCTTACCGATGGCTCCCTATGCGTGGCTCGCATGTCAGTCTGCTGGTCTGTGTGTACACACACAAACTCACCAGCTAGTGTCGCAAAACGCACTGCTGTGACGGCCTGGGCCCGCTGGGGATGGGGCTGCTGCTGCTGGCCCAATAAGTCGCTTTTCTGAATATCCGGTTAATGATTGCGCCACAAATTCGGCACGACGACACACGGCGATTGATGGCTATTTACAGACGGAAACATTTCAGCAACTTCTATAAAGGCCGAGTCGCTCTACACCAAATGTCTAACATATGTAACGAGCACCACAGGGTCCGATTAGTCAATGTAACGTCAACGCTCACCCCTCTATCACTATACTAACCCTAACACTACAGTGGGAGAAGACTGTTATTCACTCCTATATCACGTCTATATCACCCAAATCTTCACCCTCTATCGCTCCTCTATCTCTCCTATCAACACTCTATCACTCCTCTATCACTCCTATCAACCCTCTTTCACCCTCACCCCTCTATCACTCCTATCAACCCTCTATCACCCTCACCCCTCTATCACTCCTCTATCAACCCTCTATCACTCCTATCACCCCTCTATCACTCCTCTATCTCTCCTATCAACCCTCACCCCTCTATCACTCCTCTACCATCCCTCTATCACTCCCCTCTCTCCTATCAACCCTCTATCATTCCTCTATCACCCTCACCCCTCTATCACTTCTATCATTCCTCTATCACCTCTATCATTCATCTATCACCCCTCTATCACTCCCCTATCTCCCCTCTATCACCCTCACCCCTCTATCACTTCTATCATCACTCTATCACTCCTCTATCACCCCTCTATCATTCATCAATCACCCCTCTATCATTCATCTATCACCCCTCTATCACTCCTCTATCACCCCTCTATCATTCATCTATCACCCCTCTATCTCTCCTCTATCACCCTCACCCCTCTATCACTCCTATCATCCCTCTATCACTCCTCTATCATTCCTCTATCACCCCTATCATTCCTCTATCACCCTCACCCCTCTATCACTTCTCTGTCATCTCTCTATCACTTCTCTATCACCCCTCTATCACTTCTATCATCACTCTATCACTCCTCTATCACCCCTCTATCATTCATCAATCACCCCTCTATCATTCATCTATCATCCCTCTATCACTCCTCTATCATTCCTCTATCACCCCTATCATTCATCTATCACCCTCACCCCTCTATCACTTCTCTATCATCTCTCTATCACTTCTCTATCACCCATCTTTTACTTCTCTATCACTCCTCTATCACCCTCACCCCTCTATCACCATGTATCACCAACAACAACATGCAAATAACATGACATTTACTTGGGAAAATGCAACTTACATGTGAAGTGCAATGTATCTACAGTAGAGCTAGAGGGGCTTTGAACAAATAGTATGTAAAATAGCCTAAATATTTTTAAAAAATAAGAAAATAACGACGATTCCCAGTGATGGTCACCATTAAGGGCTTTATTAAAGGGTAAAACAAAACAAAAATAGAAAAAAGTCACATATTCATATAGGCAAATTAACCTACCATTTTAATATGCATACACCACAAAATAATTGCCATGTTGCACAGTAGCACATAGAAGCACAGTAAGCAAAAATATAGTGAGAAGCTACAATACGATAGAGCGAAGAAACAGAGCTGTGATGTTTAACTGTCCAAGAGTGGCACATAGAGAGAGAGAGAGAGAGAGAGAGAGAGAGAGAGTTTCGTATGGCTTAGTCCTCAACAGGCCCTCATTGCTTTTCCTCTAGTTGCTATTATGTTACTTGCTTCCATGATTCACCAACTCTATCCAAAGTAGTCAAGACAGCAACTCACTGTACATGCAGTTCTGGAAATAAACGTTGATTATAAATGTAAGAGTTATACAAGGGAAAAAAAATATGCTTAATGATGAAGGCACAGGTAAACTTAACTGTGTAGAAACAAAAATGGAATAAAAACACAATGCAATAGTGATGTTAAATGGAAATCTACCAGTGGAGCCCACTTAATATATGGTTGTCAACAAGTATTTTCCCATACTAGAGCAGTATAATTCAGCAGGATACAGAGCAAAAGAGACACACAAGCTGATTTCCTGGATTTGAAATACACACGGTACAGAAGTATAGCAAATAGCCATTTACACAATTTGAGGAAAAACTAAAACAAAGAACAATCTTTTTTCCCCACATTCTGAAGGCTTCGAAACACCACAACGGTATGAGTCTCATGTCAATCCAACACTAGGACAGATGCCATGGCAACAAAATCATTGGCTTCACAAGTAATACATAAAGCGATCAATGACAAGGTTTGATGTATACAGTTAAAGGGTTTTTTTGTATTCAAAGCTCTGTTGGTTGGATGTTTTTCACTGTCCAATTGTTGATACAAATTCAATGAAGGATTCATATTTACCGATTATTGAGTTATCATAGTGAATGAGCAGAAGAAAAAAAAAGATATCATTTTCCAACCAGTAGTAATGAAATGTAAAATTGTCACTCATCCTAATATCTGGCTGCCAGTTTAATTTAAAGACTTAGTTAATTACACAATTTTTGGTACTAGGAGAATAATTATTTGAATTTTAATTCAGTATTTGGTGAAATATGTATCACTGCTTCATTATGCATTTATTTGGAATCTTTATAAATTACAAAAGGTATCGAGAAATGTATCTTTCAAACTTGATTTTGAGATTAGATACTTGCTGCACCCACAGAACGGTTGTCTAAATTGTTAAGAGACTGCTTGATTGAAGCAAATTAATCTTTTACAGCTATACAATGTCATGCTTAGCAAGCAGTAGGGCTTTAGAAAATGGAACAGGACAAATCATTCAAAACCGTCTTTCTCATAATTAATTGAAATTATAACAGCATACTTTTAACAATACAGTGATTTCGTTTTTATCAGTTTTCTCTATATTTATTCAAAATAAATTTTTGAATATTTTCTGACATAGTTATGTACATAAGTGCAAACAAGGTGAATATTACACATTCGTACACCCCAGCGAGGATCGACATCTGCCAGCACAGCTGGGCTAGCCAGAGAGGAAAGAGACTTCCGATGGACAACAACACTTCTAGTCTAGAAAAATCTTCTAGTCCGATACCAGAAGGTCCAAATAATGAATGGGAGTAGGGTGGTTGTGGTGTCCATCGTTTCATTTTTCAAGCCAAAGGCTCTTTACCTCCCGACAGATACATGTTTACTTTAGCAAACATCTAGTTTTTAACATTTGACACCAAAAGAACAGAAAAACAATCAAAACAAAGCCAATTAAGACACACAAAAGTACAAAATAAAACCAAAATGTCACACATGATCTCCCCAAAGGAACTTTGGATATTATAAGGACATATTTGTTTCCATACAACATACTATAAACTAACTAAACATTCCCTTTTGTGAATAAGCTAGTTTATTCTTTAATTTATGTTATTTCAATTTATGTGAAAAATAATTAGGTTAATACAAAGGTAGCCACGTTGTAATTTTGTTGCCATAGCAACAGCAACTTTTCTTATTAACAATGGCTCTATCAATGTAGATATACACACTTGTTTATTAGTCTAGACAAAGTATTTTACTTAAATTAAGTTTTT